GGTGCGTGCGGTTTTGTCCATGTGGTACTGATTTAAGATATTGACTTTCGGTGTTCCCCACGCCACGCCATGCCCCCCATCCCCTCTGCTTAGTTTGCGAGCTAGACGAGCCTCGTTCATGAAGAGGAAAGACACTAGCGTGAGTCCATCTGTTCTTCTCCAGACTACCGCGCCAAAGCAAACCTAGTGGCAGACTCGATATTAGGCGCCCTAGTAGCACGTGCAGATTAAGTGGACAAAATGCGGTAGAAATTCGGCATATTTATCCGGATTTTTCCAGTAGGATTCCATGATGGAATCCGTTTAGATTTGCTACCAGGCCCCGCTAGCGCAGGAGGCTGTCATTTTTCTCTCTTCTCCTTCGCTCACAAACCTAACATGGCTCACCCTCTCACCAAGTCAGTGGTTCGTCTGTCTTGTCACGCCAACCGGTCTAGCGCAAAAATCAAAATTTCTCACTGGTTTTACTTTCTTTTGACGACGGTAAGGGCCCTTGGTGACTTCAAGAGCGACGATGAAATTATGATTGTCCCAGCAGACGAAGGACGGGCAACCGTAATCATGGGCAAGTCCAGCCGTTCGGAGTCTATTTGATCCACGTCCACCCTAGTAGCAAATCACAACGGATTCCATAATGGAATCTTACTGGAAAAATCCGGATACGTATGCCGGATTTATACCTAATTTTGTCCCCTTTGTTGCTAGGGCGGGAGAGATACTGAAAATTGGGTCTGGGTATGACTGGCTGACGACGGCTAATAAGCCAGAAATGGCCCCTCCAGTCTCTCTCGTCTTTGTGACAATACTATCTGCCTAGAGATGCTGACACTCTGCGCGACTATTTGTCATACGTAACCTCTCCTCTATTTCGCTTCTGGAACATTTGAGTGAAAACTTTCTGAATAATAATAGTAATAATAATGAGAAAGAGGAAGAAGAAGAGAGAGTAGCATCCGGAATGGGTATATTAGACTCTGACGTATAGCATAGCTAGCCCGGGTGCTCATCCTCAGAGTGGGGAGCCATGGTATGCTAATTAAAAGGCCATACCCCAACAACTATATTCCAATGAGTGTCTTACACTGCAATGCTGTGCGAAAATCCTCATTTTGTCGAGCCCTATGCAGCTTTCTAAATAGCATCAACAAAATCAACGTTTACAAACCCCTGACAGTTCTGGTTTGACAGTTTTTACCTACTTCTTCGTAAATCGTTAGGGAAGAGGGTACACTGAAGTGGAGCCTAGCAAATGAACGAAACACGCTTCTGTTTGCGCGTCATGAACTTTTCGCTATGTGGCCAGAGCGAAAAATAGTGCCTCTCACCTGGGTTTCTGTGAGACTGAGAGACTCAGCCAATTTCTTCCGCTCCTGTCCAACCACGTAGTGATTCGTTTCGAAGGCATTCTCCAGACGCAGTAACTGGGAAGGCGAGAAAGCCGTGCGGATACGCTTCGGTTTGCGATGCTGTCGAAAAGGCCCCAACTGGAAGCTTGAATCTGAAAGAGCGGGTTGGCAAAAATTGGGGGAAATAATATATATTCTTTCGAGTTCTGCTATGACAACTCCTATTGGTTAGAGAAAGTGCCGTAGGAAAAATATCGCTGCATAAACAACATGCAAAAGGAGACTGATTATATAATGGCATGCGGCCGGCAACTTTCTGTCTGAATATATTTAATGGTGAAACAAATATGTACTTTGTCCATTTGCCATAAGATAAAGGTTCCTTTAAAGTAAGTCAGAACTGTTGATATGGCCTCCCCGACAGGGCCCAGGAATAGTAACTCTCCTTGCTTAATGCAGGTGTTATCATATCAAACCTCAGGTAGGGTCAATATCCGCTGTCCTGGAACTGATACTAAGCTAGACCTGAACCATAAACATGGCAACAATGTTAAACTTGACTCTAATTGCATATATGCAGTCCCTACGTTATATTACACCTGCAATTGTTCACCTGCATACCTGACAGGGACCACCGAGGCGACCGTATTAATCGACCATACCTTCAAACGCCCCCCCCCCTCTTTCGGAATGCACAGCGCTTGAACGTGAACGAAGGTTCAAGGTTCGTTCGGACTTATCCGCTGTACACGGTGTGCATACGCTGCAGTTATTCCTTATTGACTACGAGAGCCCTAGGAACTTTTATAAAGAAGGTCGGCAGAAGACTATATGTGAAAGGAACTGAAAAGACTCTGAGGTCTTTTCAATGAGATCCTCCTAAGGAATGCAGAAGTAGTCATGGAACTCAATACAGGATGCTTCGAAGCTCTGCAGGAAAAGAGTGTGATGGTTCTAGCGCCCTCCCCCTCTCTCTCCCCCAGCAAAAACGCTCCTGACTGCCCTAGACGAAAGAATCACAATCTGCGTCCTGCTCACTGCAGGGATCCGGAGACACACTCCTGGGTACCTCGATTGCATTCTTACCCCTTTGCAAAATTAGCTGACTGCAGGGCTGCCGTGTAACCAGGTGTAAAGCAACACGTCGGAAATTATTCCCTTCCTATCATCTTTTCAGCTCACCTATTGGAATCAAATTAGTTAGAAGAGTTAGAAGTAATCGACTGAAGGTGTTTTTTGGGAAAGACAAAACATCTGCAGCAATTTCCTTCAGCACAAATTTAGTGCCAACCAGAGCCCGGTAGCAGGCAGCCTCCCTATTCTGCTTATGCAGCGGCCACGCAGCAAATCCGCATACACTTATATCATCAAATTGGTCAGTCTTCTTCCTAGCGCAAGAATAAACGGGAGTGAATCCACAAAGTGATGACCTCAGCCTACATGAGGTTGATGTCTGATTGATGCACATGTTGAACAGATATCATTTTCGAATTACTAAATAAACTGACACTCACGGAGCCACAGGGCATTGCATGCACGTTCTGGTTGAAACTCGAGCCGCTCAAGGTCAACTATTTGGGTTTCTTGGAGGGTTGCTACATGCACGGTCCTGTCTGCCCCCCCCCCGACACTGCCATATTCTTTACAAGTAAAAATCCTTTAATTTCGCGAAATCTCATGAGAGATCAGAATAAAGCCACGCGTTAAGTAAAACCCGAGGCTGAGTCTGACTTTTAAATGACAAACAAGTCTCTAGGCTACGGAGACCGTGAAGTTAAAAAAAAAATAACTGCACAGACAGAACTATCTGAAGTGCTCGTACAGATGTTAGCCCCTCCCCCCCTATGATAGTGGAAAGGCAATTCTCAGTTTGTAATCATTCCAATCAACCGTTGATGGTGGATGGTGGATGGTGGATGTATCGTCTAGAACACTTTTTTAACGAGTTTACTAGGTTTCCGTTGCGGGACGAAGAACGGACTAGCCACATAATTAGTACAATCAAGGTGGCACTAATTGCTTTCTCCCTACAGAAAGCGGCTATGATTGCATGTTCATCCCACTAAATCTTCATCACCACAATACCAATAGCATGTCCTACTTCGGACGACAAACAAATGGTTCGGTAAATTCACGTCACAAGACCTACTATGAGTCGAGTAACTGTGGTGATATTGTGTCATAAGTGTTCTCGACGTAACAGGTTGTTAATAAATTCCACCAAAAATGGCTTTGGAGCCGTCAGTCAATCCTATTTTCGAAGCCGGCAATTTATTCAAGGTGCTGGCTCATCTGATCTCTATTCTAAGCGTCTTTCTCATAAATCTTGACAGGCAACCTGTCAGACAGACCGCTTTCTCACCTGCGCTGCAAATATTGTCCCCCCTCCATGTATCATCTTATTTTTTTTTATCGAAAACTTGGAAATTACAATGCTACTCACCTGATAGAAAGGCGCCATTTTCCTTGGACGAATCAAATGAGCTCTCCATATCTGAACTGACTGCAAATGGCGGTTGAAAAGGCAGACAGATGTTGCCCAAAAAGTTCGTCAATTCAGTTGGTACGTCACTGCTCAGTTGATTCACGTCGCCATTGAAGTGCGCCTTGGTCTTCAGTGTCTCAAAACTGCA